TCCTCACTGGTGCGTTTCCTATTTCCTATTATATTAATAAGTTCTGACCAATGAAATTAAATTAGAAAATTGGAGATATAAATGTATGGTTTAACACTCCTCCCAAACTGTAGAATAAAGCTTATGAAATGGAAAAGATAAGAATTCAGGTTTCATTTAGCATTTAATTTTGCTTCTATGGCAAGTACCGTGGTCTGTAAACTGAAATATAGAAAAATTTAAAGCACAATACCACCAGATCACTTTCAACCTTAAGTTTATATACTCTCTTTTTACTCATTGTTGGCTTCTCTTTTTAATTTCAAAAATCACCCATCTTTGTCTCTACTTTCTTTCTTATCTCAAGAGAGTGAGCAGTCATGCCCCTAAGTAACAAAGGTTGTGTTCATTTGGCTCTTTCCAGCATGTGGTTAGTATGAAAAAACAGAAATGTAGACCTGGTTCTTAAAACTCTTTGGGGGAAGACAAGACAAGCAACAGGCTTGGCTCCAGCTCTGGGGGCTTGGGATTGAGTTCAGACCTCAGTCAGGTACAGAGGCTGTTAGAAGAGAGGGCAGCTGCCTCATCTTTGGCCAATGTCCAGCCTTTCTCAGGTATTACATGTTAGTCAACATCAGTGTAGTTTTCACGTTTCAGGCTGGGATTTGCTAGGAACTTAAGCTTATTCCTCTAAGTACTCCTTGAAAAGATGATAGTATTGATCATAGGCAAGGTGTCATCCAAGTTCACAGAGACGTGTTACCTTCTTGAAGGTCACCTTCTGGTGTGGTTTGTAAAACATTGCTTTAAGGATCATTCTTTGTTTATTAATACCACTTAATAAAGGGAGCCTTGTGTAACTTCTCATTTATAACAAAAGCCTAATATCCCACTAATTGAATACAGGCTACTTTATTCTTTTACGCCTAATTGATATTCACAATGATTATGTTCTGTGGCTTCCAAATGTAGTATTACTTAAAGTCTGTGATTCAGCCCCCTTTGATATTTCGGTTCTTTCTGTTTTATGCGAGCATGTTTTTATTAGGTTCCCATATATTGCACCACACATGTAATTTTAACAAGGAATAAAGTTCTTTTCCTTGTCTTATTTGCTAATCTATCCAAATGCATTGTAAGATAGGTATAGATTTTGCCTGCCACACATTATCCATGTGATTATGAGTAATTAATCTTCCCGGCTCATCATATGTGTTTCAGAATGTTAAGAAATATAGAATAAAAGGGAATGTGGTTATAGGGCTTTCCTATTTAGAGTGATTTAGATTTGTTGTCCTTTCTTAATCCTAGTCATCTCAGGCTTCATAGTATCATCTCATGGAAAATCAAACAGGTACCTTCTGTTTTCTACCTTGAGTTTTAAAATTGAAGACTGATATTTCAAGGACTTGATCATTTAAAATATACAAGCTTTCCCATCGCACAGAACCCTGCCTTCATATGCCTTGTGCTTGATGGATGAAGTCATAGTATATTACCTTTGAGCTACGTGATTGTGATGTCATTGGGTTCCCAGGGTCATGCACTTTGCATTGTACCTTAGTCCTCAGGAGCAACCAGGACAGAAAGGCACAGTGATGCCGAGAAGTTTGCACCATGAACATTTACCTAAGAATTTATATGGGAAGGTAAAGCCATGTGTCATATCAACTAAAGTTTTCTCTTGCGTTGACTTCATGGATGCTTTCTTGTTGAGCACCTTTTAAATCTCTTCTGAGGAGAGACAAGACTTTAAGGAAGGAAATACACGTGTGCCTCATTTTTTAATCTAGCCACCAACACTGAGTTAAGACATCAGAATGTTTGTGTTAGATTCCTTAAAACGTGATTCCCTTGTTTTCTTTGTTTTTCTTGCCTGTTGGAAGCTCTAGATTTCCATAATGATCCACTTAAGCATATTCTATCACATTTTCAAGCCCAATCATGTTATCCCAAATTGAGCACGACCTGAAAACTAATCAGTATATGTTTCTTTCAGGAATAGCAAATAGGAGATGGGGGAAGACTTTCTACTCATCTTTCCCTCTGAAATGATTCTACCACAATAATAATGTTATAATCCTCTTTGTTTTTATTTGCTCATTTATGATTCTGTGCCTGTTAGAGAGTTTTGCAGAGAAGTTTCATTTCCTTGCAACTAGTTTACTGCTTGCCTTAAGTTGAGTGTGACTCTCCATTCTCTGCAGCTATTAGCTTAGTCAGTATATTCTAGGCTTATTTAAGTTTCAGGATTCATATCGTGTGACTTTTCCTCCCAGCATCCCATTAACTGTTTCAAAGCAGTGTGCCATTAAAGTGTTGTGGCGTGATTCTTGCTTTGTTATTCTTCCCAGTGGATCTGAAACTATTGATTCTGTTGTAGTTGAGGAGATTTGCGACATTAGCCTATAGTTTGATGATGTTGGAAGTATCTTCTTCTTTGTGTCTTTAGTGTACCTGTCTGACTTTTTGGTGTGTTGCTTTAAAATTTATTTTAAGGATTATGTCTCAGAAAAGTAAATGAGAATATTTCTGTACCTCTTTGATTTAGGTTGTAATCAGCTCTTCACAATTAATTTGTTGGTTGGTGCAGTCTCCCCCAGTAGGCTCAGCATTATACTTGCAGTATTGAATTCTCTTAGTGTTTTCTAAATAATTATAATGGAATGTCCATTAGGGCCTCATTGCGTTTTCTGAAACTCTCACTGTGTGAACAAAAGATAAGGTTGTTTACTGCTAGCATTTTAACAGCCATGGTAGGCAGTGCCATAGGTTGAATGGGAAAGAGAAGCAAGCGTGAATATATCCAGGGTTTAGGAAGTAAAATAATTTCCATGCTATGTGTAATTGTTCAAGTTGTTAAAATTTTGGAATTATAAAGTATAATTACTTAATAGTTTACTCTTTTGCAATTCTATACCATATTACATTTCCATCTCATAGTCAAAGATACATGTATTAATATTGATGTTTAAAAGATAATTTTTCTCATTACAGAAGTAATAATTTTATTATGGAAAACAGAGAAGAGTCCAGATGACATATGTCTCCTTGTGCATATCATAATCTCTGTAAACATTTTAGCATAGTTTATACTTTTCCCTCTTAGGGTACTAGGTTCTCATGCTTCTCTGTTCCTCCTCTGCCTCCCTCCCCATCATTCCCTGTCCGATCCAAGAATTTACTGTACATGCCATTTGATGACTTGTTTTTTCCCCCATTTAATATTTTTGAGTTATAAAATTAATTCTCATGCAATATCACTTACTAATTTTTGTTAATATTTGATCCTGTAACTGGACCAAAATTTTTATAATAAATTTTCTATTGTTAGAGCATATCTTATTTCCCCAGACTTCTGTTGTTCCCACTTTGTAGTTGGTTTATATAAAGCTGGTTGCATTTTCTTAGATATGGATTCTTCTCTACTTTTCTTAATATTTGCTATGATTCAATGCCTGAAAGTAAAATTTGCCACATGATAAAATTAGCAATAGCTTTTATATACACATGTATTTATATTTCATAAATTTTAGTATGCTTAATTTATATTTGCTTTAAATTTTGTATAATTAAATTCATTCTTTTTGATACGTAGCTTTGAATTTCAACAAATGCATACAATTGTATAACCACCACAATCAGGAAAAAATAATCCGATTCTTACCTTAACAAATTCTTTTCTTTTGTTCCTTGACTAAAAAGTATGTTTATTATTAATTCTGGAAACATAAATAAGCAAAATTAAGAAAGTGGAAACTATCCTAAGCCTACCACCATGCTGTGACTTCTTTGGACACGTTGTAGAATATCATTCTGGTCTTTTTCCCCTTCCCCCTTTCCTATTTAAAAGAGGTCATACTGACTTTCTGTTTATAATCTTCTTCTTTTTTCCCATTTTTATTTAGTGTATTTTGAGTACAGGTACTGCTTAACTATTGAATTAGTTTGGGGTTTTGTTTCTTTGTAGTTCTCAACAAGCCTGTAATGAACATCTTTGCATATTTCCATAATTATTTAAGAAGTGCTAGAAGTAGAGTTTTTAGATGTTAGTGCATAGATACATATTGAAGACCTACTACTTTTTCAGTCTGTCAAATTGTTTTATAAAACACTTATACCAACTTACATTCTGACCATACATTATATAGGAGACAGTGTTTTTCTGACTCTTGCCAATACTAATTATTATAATTTTGTCAGTTTAATAGAGGATAAGGTAACCTTATTTTAATTTGCTTTCTCTGATTTCCTGTGCTGTTGGTTGGTTTTGTTTTCATGTGTTTATATTTGTAATTTGGTGTGTGTGTGTGTGTGTGTGTGTGTGTGTGTGTGTGTGTGTATTCCCAGTGAATTTTTCTTTTGGTTTTTATTTTCGCAGTGGGGTGGGGTGGGAATTTGGGGGGGGGAATAAAGGCTTTTTAAGGGCTTTATATATTAATAACTTTAACTGTCACAGTACATGCTGAAATTTCTTTTCCTTTTTTTTCCCTTTGCTTATTCTGTTGATTTTGTGATTTTTTTTTCAAAAAATTTTTTGAGATTTTTTGAGTGTTTTCTTAATTTATATTTTGGGCATGTATATTGAGTTTAGAGAAGTCTCTTCTCTTTATTTAATCTTTACATTTTTTTTCTCTCTTTGTATGTCAAAACTTTCTTCTGTATTTATGTATTCTTTTATATTCCTAACAGACTAGTAAATTTTTATATTGTTGCACCAAGAAACCTAGATTATGTACTTGCATTTGAATGTATTTTTATATAATTCTAATGTTGTATTTGTTTCTATTTATTCATTTGCTTTCAATTAGCACAAACTTTTCATTGAAATTTTGTATTTAAACTGTAAAAGCACAGTGACATTTAAATGTGTCTCAAGTTCAGCATCTCCTCTTATTATTTCCCCATTGGCTTTTTTGGTTTGCATTTTATATATTATTCATCAAATTTCTCTGTGAAATTGGAAAAAATAGTACTTACATTGTTAAATAACTGTTTGTTTGTTTTTTAACATGCTGCAGGATATTGAAGACAAAGTAAGTAACAAAACAGCCTACGATTCTGCAAGTGAAATCACCCAAAATAAGCAGGTAGTTGAGGGGACAGGCACTCAAATGGATCGAGCCAGATGATACTGATCTCTTTACCAAATAATTGGCATGTATGCAAGAATGGGAATGCCCAAACACATTTATTTCTTACAAGTTGTAAGACATGTTAGACATGTGGTTAGCATTCACTGAACAAAAAAATGTGAAAATTCTAACTCAGGTGAGATAAGGAGATTTCTTCTGACCTGGATAAAGGCAGATAAACATAATCCAGATACCAACAACAGTTTAAGAAGTACTTAAAAAAAATTATTTTGAAAAAAATTCCATAAGTAGCCATCTTTACTAATTTTTCAAAGATCAAAAATATTTGATTGCCTATGTTTTAATTTTGTAAAATAAGGTCTTATAAATTAGAAGTAACATAACTAAATGTTTTAAAATTACTTATTAATTTCAGTTATTATTATTTTTAATTATTAAAATAGTTAAAATAGTTTTGGATTGTTGGTCCCCTAAGCTGCTGTTTCATAAACAAGGAAATAGAATACTACATATATTTACAGGCAGGTTTCACTAGGTAATTTCAGAGTTCTTAAACATAAGGTTTATAGACAAAATGTTATGTAGACATTTTGCTATATTTCAAGGTTAGTAATTATATATCCTGGAATAAAAATTAAAAGTTTTATTGTGTAAAATATTAATCCTTAAAATTACTCTTCAAAAGAGAATTGTGCTGTATCCTGACATTTTCAAATACATTTAGACAAAGTAGGACACAGCTGTTACAGTAAAAAATAATAACAATAACACAATGCAGACTCATTCTTTACATTTAAATACAGCAATCATCATCATATTAATATTTTTCTATGGAAGAGACCTAATAGATTGCAAAAATTGTCAGCTTTGTGTACTTATTTCTAATGCAATTTGTACTTGACTTTTGCTTTGCTGTTGCTTCTTTTTCTTGATATAGTATATTCCTCATTTCTTTTTTTAGGTTAAGCAGCTGGAAGAGAAAGACCGATTGATAAAGAAGCAGGATGCGTTCTACAAAGAGCAGCTGGCTAGACTGGAGGAGAGGGTATGGCTATTTCTTGTCATTGCTTCTCTTCTCTCACTACATCTGTAGCTTTCCTAAATATTTATTTAAAAATCAATAAATTAGAACTAAACTGCTTTTACTCATTTAAAAAGTGGCCAGGAAATGAAGAGACCAAGCAGGTAGGCCATTCTCTCTGGGAATGTCATTTCTTTGGTCATTTTTGTTAGGGTTGTATTATTGACTCACTGATACATTTTACCATACAAGAACTGTCCCGAATATTTTCCCGAATTCAGTCTGTTTGTATCTGCATTGCCTCCAGGTGAAGCAGAGAATGCTACTCTTAACTCCTCTAAATGCTGAGTAAACTTAAGTTTGTTTGTAGAAGTAGTCCTCATTTAAAGGATACGTTGTCACTATGAAACTCAGTTTCATTGCATTTCTGGCTAAGAAATGAATGTCTCCTTCAAGAATGGTGATAGAGGCCAAATAGTAGGACTTGAGGAAAAGATTTGTGAAAAAAGAAGTCAGTCTAGTTGGCATGGATCTAGAGTTGGGAGACACAATGAAGGGAACTAGAACTGGAAGGAAAGAAGGCAGTATGTTTAAGAATGAAGTTTGTGCCCCTCCTCAGTCCCCTGTTCAATGAAGTAGACCACTTGTCTAGGTTAATTTTATACATAGACCATAAGTTTACAGAGTGAATGCTCTCTTCGTTTTGATTGACTTCCAAAATTTGATTTGTTAAGAATATGATATTTGACAAAAAAGTTAAATAAAAAAGTAGGAAATAAATTCCCAGACTTCGCTCGGTATAGTTATGTTTCTATTAAATGTGTCTTAGCATCTCCGTATGTCACTGGTTTGCCTGCTTCCCGAATGGAGACACCATTTTGTCAATTGTTCTGCAGGTATCTACTTAAGCACCTTAAGTATATATGTCAGGTCCTGTCTAGTGCCAAAGGTATCCTAGTGAAGAAAATAAACTAACCATCTGCTCTGACGGAACTTAAATTCAATTGAAAATCATTATACATGTTGAATGGCAGGATGGATAATATGGGGAACAATAATTAACTGGAAAAGGGCCAATGTGTAGGCGTGAAGTTGGGTGAAGAGGAAGGCCTACCTAAAAAGATGGCATTTGGTGTCTTCTCTGATACACGGATGCTGATTCATAATGGGGATGGGGTGGGGAGAAGCACAGAAGGACTAGATGAGCTTTAGATAGGGCGAAGGGGAAGGAGGAGAAGCAGGGGTACGGGGGTAGGAAAGACAGTGGAATGAAATGAGCATTGTTACCCTAAGTACGTGTATGACAACATGAATGGTGTTAAACCAGAGACAAGAAAAATTGTGCTCTATTTGTATAACATGAATTGCATTCTGTTAGAATAAATAAAAAAAACTAATTAGAATAAATAAAAATTAAAAATTAAAAAAAAAGATGACATTTGGGAAGAGGCCTGTCATACTAGGGAAGCAAGCCAATGTCACAGCCCTGATTACAAGGGAATTCTTGGTAAGTTGGAAGGCCAGGGGTTTTGTAATTTGGCTGCTATCTTGGCAAGAATTTTGAAGCACAGGAGACTTGGTAAGAGAATGAATTCCTAACGTGGCATGTGCCAGCTGAGTAACTTACAGCATCTTACTTAACTTCTGTTTCCTCACTGTAGAAGGAAGGTACATTAGTTCTTACCTCACTAACCTGTTAAAATGAACTAATACTCATAATGCATCTGTAATAGTGTCCAGTCTGAGGTCACCACTCAGTCTATGGCTGTTATTTTGTTTGCATACTTCAAAGCAATATACCTGACACAGAACTTGCAAATATTACCTGAATAAATGAATGCAAGTGAAAGTTTCTGAGATGATAGTTTTCTTTGCTATTAAGTTTTACTGTGTTAGGTGCCTTATGAGTTTGTCTTTAATCTCTGTAGGGTACAAGAAAAGACATTGCACTTTAATCTCTGTAGGGTACAAGAAAAGACATTGCAAAATGTTTCCGTTTCTCATAGATCTATCCATTTGAGAGAGTTCAGTGATTCTTACAAGGCTCTAAGGATTTTCTTGAGGCAGATTAAGGCTGGCTGCTCAGCAAGTAAAGTACTGTGTTCAGTCTCGAGTAAACCAAGGGTAGAAGACCACATGGACATGGTACGGTGAGGTCCTCTCATACAAATCTAATAATATACAATATATATATTGTGATTAGTGTCTTCTTACAGAAGCAAGATGTTTTTGAAGATCAGGCTGAAAAATAGTTACTAAGGGCTTTAAAATGCAATCTGAGGAGTATCACTGGGGTGGAATGGTTTCTCTACTATCAGTAAATACTTAACTTCTTGTTTAGTAACATAGAAGAAATAATGTTAGACTAGGAGTCAGGGGGCAAGGTTTTGTCACTTCATCTTCTGTGGTTTTTTTATCTGTAGGATAGGGATACTGCTCTGTACCTTGCTCATCTTTGTGGGTCATGGGGGTAGCGGGGAGCTACATAAGGTAACCTATAGGAAGACTTCTTGAAAACTGACAAGAGTTTAACAAATTTGAGCTATTGCCAATGACAGAATGTTGCTTACTTTCATTATGTGCAAGATCCTAATAATCATAAAATTAGTGTTATCCAATTTTCTCATGTCTTCTGCCCACATCTATAAAGTCCTATTTTTGTTAATTATTGACATTTCTAGAATAACTAAGTTCGATTTTTTTGCAGTTGAAATTCATCAAAGACATTTAGGTCTTTAGTGATGAAGTATTTTCTAGACTTAATACAAAAGATTGTAAAGAAATGTTATATTGTTCTAGTAGTGAAGGGTCTAGAACCATTTCTATTAGGACTTCCACATATACATTGTGTTAAAAGATATGAAAGTGCTAAAGCCTATGTGAAAAAAATGTAATGGTGATATTATTAAGTTGCAGAATCATCTAACTTACTCTGAAATCCAGGTTGCTGTGGTTTAAAAGTTAACATAAGCACATATCTTTCTTTTAACCAAATGAAATGACAAAACCTTCAAGTTGATACTGAGTTATGTATTTTTAGTAGAGAAGAGGGGAGATGTCAACAAGCCTTTGACAGAATTCATTCCAAGGATGAACCCCTACATGAGCTTACCATCTGCCTATCAACTAGATTGACAAAAGACAGTAACATTAAAAGTTTTTGGTGACTTATGATCTTATTAGTTCATCTATTTTCACTGATGTGATGCAGATTTCTTTTGATATGAACCAGAGACTACTATGCATATGAAGTACATTCAGTTCTGTAATATAGCTTGGTTCTTTTCTTGGATCTATTTCAATAAACTCTTCATCAGTTAGTAATTCCCATGTGACTCTGCTGCTTTATTTGCATTAGCTAGTCCACCAGGAGTCTGAGATAATTTCTCCCTTATTACGCTTGTGAAGTGTAATAAATATCTTTGAACCGGTATTCAATAGCAGGAACTCTTTACTGGAAAGAAGGTGAATGGCATTCAAATATCCTTATTTCCCAGTCAAATGTTGCTACCTTATCAAACCACATTGGTATAGATGTGAAAGTAAACTTTAAAAAAAAAAAATAGTAAAGGTGTCCCAGTTAGGTATGTGACCAAAAGGGACTTAGACAATATTTATTCCTTCTTGTTGATGTAAGTGACTTGAAGAATATTAATTCCTGGTTTGTGATTTGCTTAGAGGAAGTCCAGAGCAGTCTTCAAAAAGAAGACTGAAATGTTTTTAAGGAGACTTCCCTCAATCTCTGAGGGGATTTATAATTTGGTTTTCCAACTATTAAGATATAATTGACAAATCCATAATGCCTTAATACTTCTCTTTACAATGCCCCATTATATTTGTAATAATGTGATTAGTTACGAGGATTTATCTTGTATACTTCTGGAGGGCAGATCTCATTTTATTTTGTTATCCTCTACAGTTGACACATAGTAGGAGTACAGTGAATGAATCTGAGATTTACTAAACTTAACCATTCAGTTATATCTAAACAATGAGTGTAGATGTTTTAAATATTCATAAAATGTTTAGCATTTTCTTCCTTCTTTAATAATTTAAATCTCTCTTATATGAAAGTCAAGTTTAACTTTGAGTATTTTGGTGTCATAGATAACATCATCATTATTATAGTAGATAATAGGCACATGTATAGAACATTTATGTGGTGTTAGATACTTTGCATGAATTATCTCAGTTTATCCTCAGAAATCCCCACGAGGGGCCTACCATCCTACTGTTTAGGCAAAGATCCTGAGGCTTAAATTTGCCCAAGAATATATAGCCCAAATGTGATAAAGCTGGAGCTGAGCCGCTTCAAGACCTGAGCTTTTAGCCACCACTAATGTTATCTTTTAAACATGTATTTGTTCTGTACTTAAGATCTTAAATCCTGCTGATTGTAGTGCCAGTTCTTTGGGTGGTAGGTTAGCTCCTTCTGGCTTCTGATACAACTTTTTAGGCCCCAGGTCTTATAATTTGATTATTGCTACCTCGTAGTCTGAAAGCATTACACATCAAAAATATATGACTTTACCCCAGGATTTGGTAGTTCCAGGTAAACTTGGACCAAAAGGGAATAAATAAGTTCTCACACCTAGCAATCTGTAGCATGATATGCCTAAGAGTTGTTTTAATATCTAGCTGTGCTTATTTCACTTTAAAGTAAGAAATTTATAGCCATTTGAACAGTTTAAAACTTCTTGAGATGCTCATTCATTTGCTCATACTTTCACAGTGTTGCTGTAGCATAGTCATTTCATCTTCTAGGAAAAAAAACCATTTTGTTTTAGTTTTGCTAAATTGTTCTAGGGTTATTTCCTTAGAGTCTGGATTGTTTGCATGTTCATGAGGAAAAATGTGTATTTTCCAGTAGTCTGAGGGTCCTGGGGGAGGGAAGCCAGAGGAAAGCTCTCAGCTGGAGTCCAAGATGGCCCAATTCACAGATTTCCCCGGGATCTTCCAGGACGAAGGCCTCTGCCTCCCTAAGGCATCATAAAGACTTGATTCTGAGAGTGGTATGTCTTGCA